CTTCGCGATGCTTTCGGGAAAAAGGTGCTTTGGGAAGCGAGGCCCGCCTGCTTACATGTGCCAGGACAGGATGTTCAACAGGAGATCTTCTGCTGGGTCGAAGCTCAGCGAGTCAGTTGGCTGCATCTCCACAACTGAACAGTGGAATCGTACCGCTCACGCACAGTCATGTTTACTTTATAACCTGGTAACCTTGATACCCTAACCGATCGCATATTTCGGCCCACGATGCACAGGATCTCCGCAGTAGGCTTCCTGACCTATTCAGATGTGATTTTTGCTCCTTGCCCCAGACGGCGAGTTCATCGCCCTCCGCGCTGGTCAACGAGGACTGAAAGAGTGCTGAGCTGTAGGTAATGTGGCACCGTAGCGAAGATGCAGCACGAGCTTAAGAGAATGTGATTGTGGCAATGTTTTTTCATGGTAACAGCCAAGCAGCATTGCTTGCAGTGAAGGGCCCTGGGTAGCAAGGATCCTTACCAGCTCAGCTTTTCTCATCTTCAATGTGACGCTGATCACTCTTAACACCTTCTGGATGGGATGCTCTGCTGCACAGCTTCTACATAGGCGCTCACTCCGTCATGTATCCTTGTGGAACCTCGTCTTATGTCTTGCCGGCTTGAAGCTAGCACAGTTAGCTGTGACACGGGCTGGTCTACCAGGTATCCATGCCGACGGCTTTGTGATGCGTGAACATCAAGTCATTGACAACCTTGATGTGTACTACGTGGTCGAGAGCGTCTTTACAGGCCTGCGGCAAGTAGCTTCTTTCTCAACATGCTGGCAAGACGGCGACTTTGAAGAGGAAGCTTGTGCTTGGATTTGTTGAGAGGCCTCTTCTTTGCGGAGCTTCTGATCCGCCTCTTTCACTATGCAGCTGAGTACGCATTAGGGAGTGGGAACAGGCACGACAGAAAGTGGGACCTAAGTCGTTTGTATTGCTTTAGCCGGGCACCGCTTCCACGCGAGTTTTCGATAGAGCCGGGGTACCTGTGCCCGCCATAGATTCCGGTCCGTGATGGGATGCCTAAGCAGGTTATGATGTTCCGGAACTGACTGATGCTCAGCGTGTTGTTCCATGCATCGACGTGCCGAAATGCAAGATAGACACGTCCTGCTTCTGTTGGATTTCTGGGAGGCTGATTTTGGAAGAGGAGGCTGATGTTGGAGGATGCAGCAATCCATGCAGCAATCCTTCGAACTGCGGCGAAGGGAACTGGTTGGGCCGGGTCTTACCACAGGTGTGGATCATTGTGAAAGGTCCTTACGTGGCGCTCCATTGTGACGCACATCCTATGTGTTGCCGTCCTATTTGGCACTTCCGGTGGGCGAGAAGAGGGAGCTCTAGATGCTTATGTTTTGGTGTCGACATCGGATCGCTCGGTGGGAAGCCAGCAAGGAGCTGGCGGCGTTTCTCTTGGTGAGGTATGGACATGTGGAGACTTGCTGCATGTGCGGCTTGAGTCTGCATCTGTCTTGGTGGAACTCCGCCTCGTCCAGAGAAGCCCACGCTGCGTGCAGAGCCGAATGTTCCGACATGTTCCGTAGACGTTTAGTCATGTTTCCCATCCGTCCATAAATCCCAATCGCAGGAACTCCAAGGATGCATTGTTTAGGAAGCAAGCATCAGCCGAAGTTAGATCTTCCGGTCCCCTCGCTGCTATATTCTATACAATCTAAGGTTTACGCATGTTTACACTCTATCGTGATGACGTCTTGAACCAGGGAGCTTCGTGAGCTGAGCTTAATGTTGAGGCAAAGTGGCAGCTGTGGAAAGACCCGCTGCTGCTCCTTGATACCGTGGTGATAGTGATCCTTGGCCGTTCATTGTAAGACCAGCGAGAATTTGCATCTGCGAAAGACAAACACCAAGTTTTTATCTAGTGTGAGAGTGAGACTTTTTCGAGAAGGATATTTCTGTGTGCAGCGTCATTCTTGGGAGTGGGAGAGTGGTGCACAGTGTGTCATGTGTTGTGTCTTTCCTTCATCGTCCTTTAGTGGCATGATAGCGTGCATGCTGTGTAAACATGTTCCCGTGGACGGTCTGCGTGGCCTTGTACAAAGTCTACTATAGCGTTCGCTTGAAGCTGTTGGTCCTAGGATCCCAGCAGTGGAAATGTGGATTTGGCGACCACTGTCAAGACGATCGTTGGACAACATCGCCACAACAACTGTCATGAGTCTGTTTCGCGTCTGCCGGATTGCACGAGGTGGGCAGGATATGAGTTGCTGTTCTTGCTTGTCGGTCTGCTGCTTCCTCCTTTTCTTGTCGGAACATCTGCGATTTTGCCTTAGTGCATCGCCTTTCATTATCCGACGATCATCGGAACGGGTGCTGAGAGAACAGTGGTGTTCAGTTTGCATAGGAAGATCTATGTGGCTCTCTGGCTTGATTCCATCATGCGACAAGGGTCTCCCATTGTTACTCCTGCACATTTTCACAGCAAGATGGGGGGCAGACGTGCAGGCATCATGACACTGGCGAGCATCAAATGGCTCCGACCACTATATTTGTCCGCCGCACAGCAGCATGTCAAAGTGGTTTGGGTCGTGGGACTCCCACTTACTGTCTGAGACCCGGCAGATGAATCAAGCAATGTGTATGGTGCGGTTGGATTTCACTGACAGTTGCTTATGAAGTCTTCGTATTATCGTCAAGGAATGCCCAGTGCCCTTCAGAAACCGCTAGACTGCTAGCATTGCTTTCTCGCCTATCTCTTTATCTCTTTCTCTATGTATATATTGTATATTGTATGTGTATATATATATGTATATGTATATGTACATGTATATGTATATGTATATGTATATGGTGCAGGGCTGCCACACCCTCCCTCCCCGCCACCCCATGGTGTCCTCCCCCCGTTGAGTGGGGCCTGTAGTGGCACCCTTCTCCGCTGCATCCCACCCCGCCGGTGGGCTCTGCACCCCTCTTAGCTGAGGCTTGGGTTGGCCTAGATTGGAATATGCAACACGTGTAACACAAGGATCTGTTGTGACGATTAGTGTTGGAGCTTTAAGAGCACTTGCAACAGCATCCACTATGTTCGTGCGGCCCGCATCCGCCGCTCTTGAAGTTTATGTGTTACTCCTTATCTTCCTTCTTGCTGTGGCACCTGTTATGCTGCTCTAGACGGGGATGCGACGCGAGTCGTCAATCAGATCATCTTTGATGTTCATGCTCATCATCATCGTTGTCGTCGTCATTTGCATCATCAGTACCATCAAAAGAATAACTGCCACCATCACCATCGCCAAACAACCCTCATATTTAATTAAGCAATGTAATTCATGTCTGATGTAGGAAACTGGTGCGCAGATTGCCGCCTTCCGCACACGGCAGGGGTGGGGTACCATGGGGGTTGGGGGCGAAGTCGACCCCAAGCCGCACCAGCAGGGGCAAGGGTGGGGTGCCATTGGGGTGGGGGAGGGGGGGGGGGTGTGTGTGTGTGCTCGCGAAACGGTGGAGTGTGCATTCGCTACAGGGTCCAGTGTGCGCTCGCTGATTTGTTTATAGGGCAGGGTCACCAGGTCGAGTGTGCACTCGCCAAGTGGGTACGTGCGAATCTAGACCCCCCCACATCCAGGACTTAAGCCCTAAACCCCAAACCCTGAACCCCACCTAAAACCTAAACCCCAAAAACCCTAGACCCTAAAACCCTAAAACCTGAACCCTAAACCCAAACCCCAAACCTTAAACCCTAAACCGTGAACCCTGAAACCCTAAACCCTGAACCCTAAACCCTAAATAAACCCTAAACCCTAAACTGCTTCAACATGCTGCTCAACCTCGTGCTGCTGATCTGGTCATCCTGGAGGTGGTCTTGCTGCAAATGTTCCTGCTGAGCATGGAGTTGCTGATGCTCCTCTGCCTGAAGCTGCGCATTTTCGTGCTGCATCGAGCTCTGGGGTGTCTGTGGAGCGCTCACGTTCTAGATCTCCAAGGGCTCTTGACACTCAGCCGATGCACGATGCTGCGGATGGCGACGATGTTGTGCTGATGCAGCAGATCCGGGTGGAGGAGGCTGCACATCTGGCAGAAGTACCGTGGGACGTGTGCGCTGAGTTGAGGGTTGCACCGGACGAAACCAGTGTGGACGCGGTCTCGTTCGTGCAGCACCTTAATGTGAACGAGGATGAAGAACTGGCAGAGGCTGTCTATGCCCGCGGTCGTGGAGCACTCGATGCCTTCCTCGATCACTGTGTGGGCCCTTCAGCAGTTGATGGGATGCATGGGATGCTGACCCTGTCATTGCTGCGTGCGTGCTTGGAGGCTCAGGGATGTTGCCTGGATGCTGTCGGGCGTGTTCTTCGTGTACGTGGTGCCAGTCGTCCTCTGCCACCCGAAGCTCTCCGTACAGCTGCTGCTCATGAATGTCGTCGCGTGCGAGAGGTACTACGTCTGTGCAGTGGGAGGCCGGTATGGATGTCCTTCGTGATGCACAAGTCGATCCTTACTGTCTCCGTGACTACTTGCATGACCGCACAGCTCCTGTGGGTGATCCCGCCTTGCCAGTTGCGCCCATTGAATCCTCCGCTGCAATACCTACTGGCACTACTACTGAGACCGGTGCAGCTGGACTCGTGGAAGTGCAGGAAAGCTTTGACAGTCCTGGAGGTTTTCCTGGTTCTTCTCCTATGGCTCCTGATGAAGTACCTGACCTTCCTGCTGCACCAACGACCTTTGCTGACGATATGGATTTGCTGGTGGACGTGGCGATGGACGTGTGCTGACTGTCATCAACGGTGTGGTCGCTCGCGTTCTCCTCGTGGTGGGGGCCGAGATGCTGCCCACCGTCCTGGGGGTGAAAGTGTTCCTCTGTTCTGCCTGGTGAAGATGCTGGTGTCGCTGTTGGGGTGTCTCCGGTACGACTTACAACCTGTGTTCAAGAAGGGCGAGCAGCTGAAGAGGGTGAGATTTAGTTTGTTAATGTAGTGGAGGGCCTGAAAGGCCAGAGCGCGTACGGAAAGGAGAGCACAGTTCGACGTAAATAAAGAACACTTTAGACCCTAGACCCTAAACCTTGACCCCAAACTCTGAAACCCTACAACCCTGAAGCCCTAAAACCTAAACCCTAACATTCTCAAACCCTAAACCCGTAACCCTAAACCCCAAACCCTAAACCCGTAACCCTAAACCCCAAACCCTGAACCCTAAGCTCTAAACCTTCAACCCTAAACCCAAAACCCTAAAACCCTAAACCCTGAACCCTAGACTCAAGCCCTAAACCCTGAACCCTGAAACCCTAAACCCTTAATAAACCCTAAACCCTAGACCTTAAACCCTAAACCCTAAACCTTGAACCCCATTCCGCTAAGCTGGATTGGCGAGGGGGAAAAAGGTGTTCAAAAAAAACCTTGAACCCCCAACCCTGACGCCCTAAAACCTAAACCCTGAAAATCTAAGATCCGAAAGCCCTAAACACTCAACCCTACGCGCTAAACCCCAAGCCTTTAGATCGCTCACCCTATGGGGTTTGCAGGGATGCTTTCGAGCAGACTGAAAAAAGAGCGCTTAAAAAAAAACCCAAACCTTAAACCCTAAACCCGAAACCCTAGAATCCGAAACCCTACACCCCACAGCCAAAAGCACTGAACCCTAAACCCTAAAGCACTAAACCTGAAATCCCACCCGTGCCTTTACTGAAAGATAAAAAGTGCGTGCTGGAGCCTGATTGCTTGCGCATGCACACTCGATGCTGGAATGAATGCGCACTGGCCCCTCTTGGGGGGGGGTGTGGGGGCCCTGGACCCGAGAGCGTATGATGCAGCTCTCGCTCTCCCTCTCTCGCTCTCTCTGTGTCTCTGTCTCTCGCTCGCAATCGCTCTCGTCTATCTATCTATCTATTTATCTATCTATCTATCTCTCTATCTCTCTCTATCTTTCCTGTGTGAGGCCATGGGTTTGAAGCACTCCCTCAGCTACGTGTTCGCCATGGGCATGTACTTGGCTACAATGATGCGTGGCAGCATATTGCATTGGCTGTGAGTCGTGCGAGAATGTTCCATATCGGTGCATGTTTCAATCGCTTCGGCTACAATTGCAGTGTCCCTAGTCGACGGTTTTCGGCCTAGCAACGACGGGAGATGAGAGCTCAGAGCGCACGCTGGGCCGATCGTGCAGCTTTATTGTTGCTTCATGTGTATTGTGTTTCAGGTTGTTTGCCGCCTCCGTGCTCTTGTGCGAGCTCGTGGGTCCCAGCAGTCCTGTCCACATCAGCCTTCCGGTCGTGATCCGTATCTCAGCTTGGAGAGCTGCGAGCCACAGCATCTGTTTCAGATTTTTAGGTAACATCGTGATCTTTAGTGGTGAGGTTGATGGGGTCAGCACAGTCTGTACAAAGCCTGGAAAGGTACTCGCTTCTCTTCCGTGGCTTCTGCCTACCTTACATTGGTGGAGTGCTTGCTGGGAGGCAGCCAAAACCACTGCAAAGCTTGCACGTGCAGGGAAGGAAATCTGTGGATTTGTGTTCAGACATCTCATGTTGATCTGTTGTGACGACTCCGTGCCTGTCAAACTCGTGTCAAACGGGTTGGCTGATTGTTGTGTCGAGGTGTGGAGTGGGGGCCACAGCTGGCAAACACCTTGCTCTTCAGCACGGGCACCGCGATCAGCGGCGACCTGGTTTGCACAAGCGGCACTCTGGCAGTAAGGATCTGTGTGGAAAGGGCCTTGCGCTTGCAAGCTGTGCATACCCCACCACCTGCTGAACTGCGCCCACAAGAAGTTTCCGGGTTTGATGGCGAAGCCTGTCAGGGATCGTCTTCTTTGGCTTCCTTACATTTGGCGTCATGCTGTGGCTGAACATTGTGAGAGGGGTCTTCGTGCACCAGGCGAGCAGCACAAAGCGGCAGCAGCATAGCGTGAATTGCTGCAGTGAAGTGAGCAATTCTTCCTCGACTCCAAGACTGTCAGAGGTGGACCAGTCTTTCGAGTTCACGAATGTCACGAAGTTCAAGGATGCTGAGCTCCAGCAGCTGACCCAGGACGGTGGCCCAAAGGTCGACCGGAAGGGAGGCTGGTCTTCTGTGCCCAGGAGCTCCTCAAGCATTTCGTCAGAGCCATTCACGTGGCCTGGCAGAATGCTGGGGGCCGAATTGGTTGACCAACATGCGGTCCGCTTGTAGGCTCCGCGTCTCTGACTGCAGAAAGGGTGAGGATACACCGCAACAGCAGCTTCGGCACTCTGAGCCCGCAGGATTCACCGAACGGCTGCCGGCAAGCGGGGGCGGGTGTGCAAGGATGGGGTTGGGGACACCCTCAAAGTCTGAAGTTTCCAACAAGTGGCATATCTGGCCCAGCGGAGGAGTTGCTCCGTCGTTCTCAAAACTTGATGGATGAGGCGGATTGATCTGTCCAGTGTACCTACCAAAATCAACCAAACGCTCCTGCTCCCGACAACTCTACCTCTTCCTCTACTGACTCTAACTATAAATTGATTGAGTGCGTTTTCTGCTTCATTTTTGGACTGGCGCCGCAATTGTTTTGGATAGTTGAGAACCAGCACGTTTGCACAGCTTTCGGAAAGCTGCCATCCGTTACGCAGATCACTGTTAATGCTGGGTGTGTTCCAAGGACATGGACAGAGAGAACACCGGCGCGATCTCGTTTAGCGACGTTTCTGCTGTGTTGCCTCACCATTTGGACGAACTGGCGGATGTGGGCGTCGGTGCTCGTGTCTGCCATAGTTGTAGTTTCCTACTAGCAGTAGCCTCCACGGCAGGCTAGTCGCCGTGCAGCTATGGTGTCCGAGGCATCAGCAATTCCCAAGCAGTTCAGCTTCAGGTCTCCCCGAAGCGAGGAAGATCTTCCACGAGCTGGATACTTTGATGCATCGAATCCGCATGCGGCATTCTGCGACAGCGTGGTAGTTCAAGGCCGTGTGAGGGGCTTGGGAGGCAAGCACATCTAGACTTTGCAAATTTGATCCCATAAGTTCGTGCCCCCAACATGCCAAGGACACGACCTCCACGGGGTATGTCTCGATCTCACTGCAGCTTGTCTGCGGAGTCCAGGATTCCAGCAGGTAGTTAAGGTAGTTGTTCCGAAGATTTTGTCTAAAGGCCGAGATGCTGTAAATGAGCTTCGACTGTCAAGACCGGGCTTCCTGAGGACCCATGGGAGCCCAATCGAGTTTGTTTGCCCTTGGAAGGTTCATCAGCCGAATCGAGGACTACATGAAGTACAAGCCTGTTGAGGTTCTCATCTTCGAGAACCAACAGTTCAGGCTGGACTGCTTCGAGTTGAGTTGTCAGAGCTGCCTGACAGTCTGCGACGATTTCCCAGATTTTGCAGGCTTTTGCAGCTCATCAAGAAACTTGGGAAACGGAACTTAAAAAGCTTCTCCAAGGCCCGTCAGAAAGATAACCTTCGCTGCATTGCGTGTCTGCGGCCAGCAGCCAGTTTTGTTTCTTGAGAAGTCTTTGCCGTTGCAGGTGTCCCAAAGCCTCGAGATCATGGCGTCTGATTTGGCTCAGGCAATGTCGCTGTTTTCAAGTCCTAAGCCGTGCCTCACAGATTTGACACATGCCCGTGTTTGCAGGCCTTTGCCACAAAAGAGGAGATGCCAGCTTCTATCGACGAGCAGATCGAGAAGCAGCGCGGGCGGGTTGGGGCCTGATTCGCACGTAGGAATTCAGCATGCAGCGCAGGCTGCGACCGTGTCTTTGGCTCTTGTGACTGCGAGGTGCGGGCGTCTGCGGCTCGGTTGCAGAAAGGCGGCTAAGGCCTAAAATCCTAAACGAGGGCTCGGCACCTGAGAAGGGCACCTGGGAAGGGCACCTGGGTGCAGACCATGGACTTGCCTCTTCTCCTGGCAGGCGATAGTTTCAAACGCGGAGGCAGCACGAGAGCTGGACGAAAAGATCTTGTCGCTGCTTGCCTGCAGAGGGTCCTGGTGGAGGTGTGTCCCTAAACCCATTCAAAAAAAACCCCGTCGCTTTGAGGAACGAGGCCTCGCCAAGGTCGGCGAGGCCCTGGGCGGCGCAGGTTGGAGCCTTGGCGCCTGCTGAATCTTGGCCCTGCGCATTCGAGCAGCCGCTTCTGGTTTTTGCCATCTTGGCCCGTCGCCAAGAGCGCCAAGGCCCAGGGGAAGCCTTTGACCAGCAGCTACTTGGCCCAATGGGATTCGCGCCCCGAAGCAATGTGGCCGGTGACTTGTGCTAGGTGCAAACTTCATCATCGACATGTGGCAAGAGCTGCTCGGCATCGCTTTGCCTGGGCTTGTGCAAAGACGGGCCGCCGTAATGTCTCCGGATTTAGGTCTCTGCAGAAACAGCGCCCGGAAGTGAGAGATTTGATCGACTCGAGCATCCGTCTGACAAGCCTATAGCCTTTTCTGATCTTGGCTATGCCAAGCACCACCTGCCATCTAAGCTCGACCTGTGTGTGGCACGGGGTACATAGATCAGACATGTTTGAAGACTAGCATCGTTTTCGGCAACTTGCGCATGCAAGTTCACGTCGGGGAGGCGTCTGCATATGCAGGTGCATCATTGTCTTCATATCGGTCCGCATCCTTTCCTGGCCGGAAATCTCTGGCCTATGGGCGTCCAATTACTGTGCGAAGGCTATCATCTCCTAGCCTCGACAGTTCGAACATACCCTTCCCAGCAACTCGAGCGGTCAGACGATCTGACCTCCTTGTGAGCATGCAAAGGCCGTGCCATTCATTGAAGCTTCCCCTTCAGGTCCTTCAGGTGCAAAGCACTTTGAGGGCAGCATGTTTATTGAGCACCAGGAGCAGAGCAATCAGTGCAGGTAAGTTCGTGTATCACAGTGTTTCCGTGCTCGGGAGCATTTGTCGTCTTTGTGGTCTCCTTGACCCAATTGGTTTGAGGTGCTGCTTCTCCACGAAACAGAAGGCAGACGAGGAAGTGAAGTGAATAGATCCCAGCATGGTTGCAGATGATGTTGTGTTTGAGGCCGATATGCATTGAAGAGGTTCGTTGTCAGTGCTAATAGCCGGAGGTGCAGAGGCTTGTGCAGCGTCGGAACAGAACTTGCGATTCTCGAGTCGGAGCGATGAGCATTCGTGGGCGGATCGTGTCTAGGTCTTGAGGAATTACGTGAATGTGTGACTGAGCCTCAGCAGGAGGAGACCACCGACGGATTCGTGACAGAGCGTCGCGAAACCTGGACCGAAACAGAATTCAATCGAGTATGTGATTTTGTAAGTTCAGCCATTTCCAGGCCGGAGTTGAATTCCAGTAGGTCCCAGCGACCTTTCAGGTCAGGGTAGTCTCTGAAGTGGTGCCCCGCGAGAAAGCGAAGCAACAACCTGTACTATAATTGCTGCAACCTGCAGCTCAGTTTAATTCTGCTCCGCAGCACTCAGGATGAGATCCAGCCGCCCTCTTAGCGTCTCCAAGAAGTTCCAGAAGCGTTGCCCTGGTTAGCATTTCGAGCCTGGCCTTCTCACCGAGGCTGAGCAAGCCGGCTATTCCCAGCGCGTCCGGTGAGGCGAAGAAGGATCGGTCCTTAGACGTCAGACAGCCTGGTGCAATCTGGTGCACTTCGGCCTCCCGTGCCTTCCTAAGGCACCATCTTCCCCTCGGCCCTTGCAGTCGCTCGGACGTAATCTCGCTGAGCTGCTCGGAGCAAAGTCCTGCTTTGCCAAGGGGCCAAGGCCACGAGCTGGCTTCCAGCGGCCAAGACGAGGCTGTAGATCCCGATTCGGGGCAAGAAGAGAGCGTGGTGCATGTTGACAAGGCCATGCGTGGCCACTTTCGATGGAATTCTGAGTCCTGTTGGATCCCTTTGAACAGGCACAATCGTCTCCGTTGGCTCAGCTTGTGACGCAGGACAACGTTTCAGTGATCCCCAGCTGAGCCCTGTCAGACTCGTCAGCATGCCAGGCTGACGAAAAGCCTTCGCAGCTCGCACCGTCCTGAATCGGGGTTTCAGAGAAGTGGGCGGCACGTGGGACGAGTCCAAGGCGGAGGAACAGCCTCAGCACACAGTGGGCCCCTGAGAATTCGAATGGAGCTGTCTCTTTCGGCAGCTTTTTTCTAGCTTTAGTTGTTCAGGCAAGGACTGTGAGGCAGAGTCCCCGAAGCTTCTACCTTCGCCCGGTTCTTGTAAGTGACGCGCCTTCGTTCGACAGGTGTCACCCAAGCGCGAACACAAAGGGCCCTTACCGCAGCAAGCAATTCCGCTGCTGCCACCGCAGGAGATTGATGATCGCTTGGTAAACCGGTCCCTGCGATCCTTAGTCCTTCATTAGTGTTGATGCTCTCTTGAGACTGTTCTAAAGGGTCGCATTTACCAGATCTGTTGCTTTTCAGCTGTGTTGCAGCAGCGCAGCGACACATCTCGCAATGGAAAAGTGATGCTTCCATCGGGCCTGCTGCTGGCTTGCTGCTTGACAGGACCCGACGTTTCGCGGCAGAAAAACACTAGTCTTAGACTTGGACGAGACGCTTGTCCGGGCCACAGCTTCCAATGCAAGCCGTAGCGTTCATGCCAATGGCACACTTGCAGACGCGGATGCTGTCTGAGGTGCACAGTTCATTTACGCCAGTCAAGTGTGATTTGGCCTCTGCCTCTGCGTCAGAACATTCTAGAGGCCACCACCTGAATCCCAGCATCCCAGCATGTTGAGGTGCTCAGCGTGTTTCTGGGGAACGAGGAGCACAAGGCAGGTCACAAGTCTTCCGGACATGCCCTGACCGCCTACCGTCACGGTCAGCCCGCATGGCAATGTGCCGAATCACCCACAAGCATCGGCGTGCAGCGACAAGCTTGCACGATGGTTTGTTGCAATGAGATCAACGTACTGGAACAACAGCTGCGAGTCTGAACCTATGTTGCCACTGAGCAGCTGCCAAGTCTGTGGTTGCATCTGTCCATTTGATCACCGAGAGGTTTACGTGAGGAAGAGGCCCGGCGTCGATGAGTTTCTAAATGCCGTCGCCAAGCTTTACGAGGCAGTCTCGCTAACAGTGCTTGTTCTGCTCCATAAAGCTGTACAGTTGTGCTTCCCATGCGCGCTGCTGTCGGCGAGGTTGCAATTTTTACAGCTTCCACTGCACTCTATGCGGCCTGCCGCCTCAAGCATTGTTTGCAAGTGGGAAGCTACAGTGCTTTGGTGCACTACTGAGCTGCGATCCGAGAATTCTTTGCTGGACGTGCTGGACAAGTCTGGATGGATCCAACACAGGTGAGCTGCCCTGAACCACCAACAGTTCATTGGTTCGCTGTGTGAGGGCCGCGCTGTGTCGTGGGAGGCTGTTCCGCGAAGCTTGCACAAGATACAAAGAAGGCTACGTCAAGGACAGGAGTCAAGCGGTGTGAACAAGTCAAGTGCGTGTCTGTGTGGGTGTAGCAGGCAACACCATGCAACACTGACCATGTCGCAGAAAGCCCTTCCTCCACCGTTGAACCTGGGCGGCTAGTCTCCGAAATTTTTCGGAGTTCCTCTGTCGCGTCGGGGCTATGTCGTGCAGACGCTCGCTGCACTGGGTCTACACAGGTACAGCGGCAACACAAAGCACTTCGGCATACTTCGGCTCTTCGTTCCTGGGCCCTCCGGCTGGCGACCTTTTCTCTTCTGGCATCTTCTGATGTAGGGGGGCTGGTGCAAATGTGGACGGACGGACGGGGTCGTGTGCCGGGGCGGGTCACGCAGTAGATATCCGCAGGTCATCTACCACGATGCAGACAGGCTCGCCACAGACGAGCTAGGACCGGCTGCACGTGACTCATCTCGAGTGGCCATCGGACTTCGCGCTTTTTGTGCCACCTGTCCAGCACAATGCGAATGGGTCGGTCATGGGTCGCTCAGACCCAGCCCTGGGAAGCCAAAACAGCAGGCCCTGCTCACCGCCGAATCGGACTCCGGCACTGGCCTGCAATCCTTGGGTTGGCGACATGAGTTTTGACGTTGACATGGGTGCCTTGCCGCTTCCGTGTGATGGTGGCACGGATGCTACCAGCCTCGCTTTAGATCCTTCGAGGCTTGTGCTCCTCTTGTGGGAGCTGGTCCATTGCCGTGCAATGTTGTTGACCTTGTGCCGCTCACTTCGCCTTCGCCACGGTATCCTTACATGAGGAGCAGCGTGTCTCTGAGTCGCAGAGGAGCATGCGTACAGGTAGGGCTGACATACCTATGTCAGCCACACATGCGCCACTGTCTTCAGACGGGAATGTCAGGAGCAGCTACATATGCTACATGTACTCAAGTCGGAAGGGGACGAGGGGAGGCCCTGTTGAACGTCTAATGCACGGATCGCAATCTTGGCCCTGGTAGAACGGAGCATCGATCTAGAATCTCACAATTGATTGTGCCCTTGCCGTTGCTGTGTCTTATTTGCCGCCGGTCAAACTCGTATTTCTTTCCTTTCGACCCAGGCTCCAAGCGCCGGGCGGGTTGTAAAATTCGGCTCGTCGGTACTGCCTGCTCCTGCAGAACGCCGAAAAAGAAGGCTTAGCAGGTTTGATTTGACAAGGTTCGACGGCGCCGCCCCCATCCTCTACTTCTCACCTGTCTGCGGCGAATGCTGATACCCTGTCGAAACCTCCTGCTCCCACCTTGCAACCGTCGACAGCACACATTTCCGAAAGGTGAACATGTGTGGCAAAACCCACACTCTCCACTGTATCGTTTCCGCTTCCACCGAACCAAGCTGTCGCACGTTTTGAGCTGTGCTTGCAAAAACATTTTTTGCATTAAACTCGGACAGACACTTTATGAAGAAGTCTGCAGGAATATGATCACTCTAGCCTGATGTACTTGCGGCGGAGTACTCCATCGATGTCTGAGGTTAGAAGCATGGCGCGCCACTTTACCTTGTGACATCCGGTGGCATTGAAAGCCGAGATGATGTACGTGGGATCTTGACCGAGACCCCCCGAAGAGCAACAACCAGCCCTGTTGCTTAGGCTTAGGCCAAGTGCATCAGTTGTGAGGAGGCGGGTAGGTCCCTTATCCATGTACGGTGTCTGTATCTACCAGCCATCCAGTGACATGGACATTTTCATGCGGTAGTTTTTACTGAGCACAGATTTTTGCATTGGAGTATTTGGCATCCAGACGGTGCAAGTATGCTGTCGCTCCGCAGAAGTGAGGCAACCACATGCAGCCACATACTGCTACCGCTGCAAGGAAATTGCTGTGCAGCTGCAAAAATTTCGCCTGGTGATTTCTGTCCATAGAGTCAAACCAAACTTGCATTCGGGGTTTGGGGCTTGCAGTGACTCAACCGGTCCAACATGTGCAGGATCTGTCGCTGCTCGGGCGAAGTCTGAACGATGTCACCTCAGCGCGCTTGCCATGGTCCGTCTGCCTCAAAGAAACAACACCTAGCATGGCACGTGTAGCTACAGGCGCACACCTGGTAGGATCTTTTCCTGCCTGATGTTGGCACTTTTGTATGATAATGTTGTTACGGCAGGTGATTATCATTGACAACATGCGCGGACCCAAGACTCAGAGCAAGGTCATGAAGGTCAGTTGACCCGCTTCAGCCTAACTCGACACCATCGGATTTTCATTCAGGCCAGTTTGCTATGCTCTGCAGCCGGAGAATGCCATTCCAATAAGAACGTGTGGCCAGCATGTGTTGAGCGACCTGACGGGATTCCACGACAGTGGTGTTCGGTGTCGCTTTTCCGATCACAGGTGGAAGCATGATCCACAGGACACAGAGCTGCTGGACTTGCTGCCTTGTCCTGAGTCGGCTTCCCCCAACTGTAGAACTCGGTTGCACCCCCAGACCGTTCTCTAGGTTTGGAATTCTGGTTTCTGTTCTCTCAGCATGATGCGCACTTTGCTGGTGCAGGCCCATCCTTCTGACCTTGGCTTACGTGGCACACCGGCCATACTTGCTAGCGGTCAACTCGCTGAAATTGTGAATCTCTGCCTACTGCCAGGATCAAATTCCGCGAATGCTGAAGGAGATCTTGGCCCACGAAGCCAGCGAAGCCTTGGCACTCAGAATGTGAACAGGGAAGCTTCTTGGTTTCGGGCTTTAGCGGGCTTGGAGAATGTAGTTCGGCTGCCACATGTCAACCCTCGTCGGGGAATGTGGGGCAAGTCTTCTCAGGATGAGGCCAGTGAGGCAGGTGCCTCGTAGAGAGATGACCTGGAATGTGACGTGGATAGGGAAGGCATGTACCCGTCAGTGCAACGGTGCATCCCATAAAGTCATCTGTTTGAAGAGGCCTCCCTCGCAATTTCCGCGTGCATTTCTCTCACGCTCAGTTGCAACCTTGAGCCAACACCTTCGGGTCGTTGCGGCTTTCGCTCAAACGTCGATCTTTCACCGATTCCCGGCCATTGCAAGCTCAATGGCTTGTGTCTATGGAGCCAAGCAGGCAGATCTTGCTCGCACAGATCGCTTCCTGTGACAAGGATGCTTTTGAAAATCCTACGGCTCTGCTACACGTCTATCCGAAAATGGAGCCTCAAATCGTGTTGCGGCCAGAGTCCCAACGTGCGTCCAGTCAAGCTGAGCTCTGAACTGGCGACCTCTTGATCGCTATGATTTGTGACTTGCGGCTGCTGCAAGGTAGCAATGTTTGCACAACGAGCGTTCACATATGGAATGCAGGGCATCAGCTGAAACCAGTCTACCAGTCTGTTTAACTGCAGCTTCAGTACCGCAAGATGTTATCACCGTGTCCAAAGGACTCGAGTGAGCGAGGCGGTTGATGCAGTATGCGGTTTGACAGAGCCTCGTATGGAGTCTTTGTGAAGAAACGCATGTCCTTCCAGAGCCGATGTCGTCTTGGGCATGCGACCCTATGAAGTTCGACACAGGTCTGACCTGGATCAATTCATGTGCGTTGCTCCCCCCGCACCACTGAAAGTTGTTCAAGAGAACAGACAGATCTTGGCAATGAGATACTGGCACTAGTAATGAATAGATTCTTCACTTTAACCGGAGTACCGTGCTTTAGCTGACACATTTCTGCTTTCGCCATGGAAGTGACACCCTTGCAAGGCCTGTGCATGCCATGTACCAAAACAGTTGACCTCTGATCTTGAAACATTGTGTGCTCTTTGCAATTTCGGTCTTCCACAGTTGCTCCTGCTTCAGATCAAGCGAGTCGAGCATCAAAGCAACAGAAGAATCGACGGATTTCGCAGGGTATACTGGCATTCGGAGATGAGTGCTGCCCTCGAGCCCATCAGGCCTGGGTGTGCGGCCTGTGCAACGGTCTCGAAGCTTTGTGGCCATGTTCGTTTTACGTGACTTGCATGAGGCTCACTTCGTTTGGGGAGGCCGGATCTCCGGCTTCCTTCGTTCAGGGGTGTGACAGCATGCCATGTGCGGTCGTGGTTGCAACATGTTGCAACGTCGGTGACAGGCCAAGCTGGCAGTGGCAGAGCAGCTATGCGCCACTGAGTGCTCGAGCAGAAAGTTTGATTTCATTTGCCCTTGGTTTCGTGCGGGTAGCTTTTGAGATGCACAAAGGCTGGAGGCCCAGAGCTGGCGCTTGCGTTGTTTCCAGGCAGAGGCCTGGTGGACTTCTGCGTCGATACCTGCGTGCTTGATCCGATCTGTGGTGTCTTCCTCGTGTTCGAAGGCACAGCTCCGCCTGCAACGTCTGCAGCGGCGCGGAGAACAGCATCCCAGGCCCTTCCGCCGTAAATGACAACCTGTTCTTTGGACGCTTTCGCGATCCCAGCTGCGTTTTCCGTACATCCATACTTGGATTCAAGAGAGGGAGAGATGCAAGCTGTGCCAAGAGTAGAATAGCTTGTCAGGTGGCCACAAGATGCCGCAGGACAGCAGCAACTACAGAACAGCTATGCAGCCTTGAAGGCTGAGCAAAGAGTAGGGAGAAGACCATGTCCTAGCAAGTTGCAAGGGTCGTTTTGTGTTTTGGTATTTCTTCATTCCGCCTGTCAGGCACTGGATTTCACATCGATTGTCCAAGAGGTGCCACTGGCCAATTCGGCTTTGTCATGTAACATCATGGCCTGCCGCAGACCCTCCGTGACGTGGTGCTGACACGCACCTCCGTGGGCCATCTGCAGGTTCGGAGTTGAAGCTTTGAAGTCTCGGTCTCGCTTTCGGAGTGTCAGCTTCTCTCGCCTCGGCTGGCCGTGTGGTTGGGAGATACCCGAAACCTTGCGGTAGCACCGGCGGGGGGTCATGAGCAGTCCCCAGCTACATGAAGACGAGCTACTCTTGCCGGTTGATTCACTCCGGAAGCGACGACTCTGATGCAGTTCTCATGCCACATCCTGGTTGCAAGGAAGGGAGCACAAGAGCTCGCACAGCGGATGCAACTCCACGTTTCAGAAATGGGGTTGTGTAATAACCCCGCGCCTCAGTGTTCAGTCTTGGCATGTCCCTGCTTGGCTTTTCAATAATTTTCTGTTGAAAAAAACGATGACAAGAAAACAGCCGATAACGCCATAACTATGGCAAAACCCAGCGAAGAGCCAAAACTTAAAACCAGGCATTTTCAGTATTAAAGTTGTACGACAACCCAGCACAGTCCAACCAGGATCCCAAACGGGGCATTTCCAGTACTAATGTTGTACTACAACCAAGCACAATCCAGCCAGGACCCCAACCAACACGTTTTACGGGGTTATCTTGTAGCCCAAAGTGCTGGTGCCGTGCAGGGCTTCAAGAGCTACCCCCGCCGCCCTTTTTGCCCTCAGCACTGTCGTGGTGCCCATTCCAGAATGCTTGCTCATGGCCCGACAATGTCTGCTGCGCGAATTCGAACTGTGAACTTGCAGGCCAAGTGCCTAGGCTTCGACACAGACCCGGTGAGTCTCGAGGGTTTTCTCGGGTTTGAGATGTTTCGCTTTGCGCCTGTCCTTCTGACTTAAGTTTATGCCGGGTCTCAGACACTCAAGCCTGGAGGACCTGCTGGAGCAAACCTCGCGCGAGGTCGCTGAGCTGGAGGAGGCCGCAGCACATTTCGCGGTGTTTTTCGATGCTTCGTGCCCTTCTGAGCTGCTTCAAAGGATGCCGCGACCAAACGTGCCCGAGCCATCTCCCTGTCAGAAGGGTCTGCCGACTTGGAACTGCTTCTGTTTGTCGGCAGTTATGCACTCGCACACACCTGATGCAGATGAGGTCGTGGGTATTGATCGCTTCAATGAGACAGCATGAGTTTGAGTTTAAGCTGAGGGCAGCATCAGAGGATGCCACCTTTGAAACAAGGGAGCGCGAGCTCGAGGAGCACAAGGATGCGCTGATGGTGATGGTGGTTCAAGAGTGTCAAGAGCGGTCTCGCTCTGCAGCTCCGCCATTGGAATCACGAAATTCAACCTGGTAGCTGTAAGTTGCAACACAGCAGGAGAAGGCACGGGAAATGGCAGAGAAGCTGCGACAGAGGCTACTGTCACTTGTGTCGAGCCTTCGGCTGTCTTGGGCTTCAAGATATATGGAAGGGCTTGGCATGTCAGAAGTCATCGACAGCCTCATTGCAGACTGCATGACGGCCAATGGTAGAAGCAGTATCTGCCTGCGAAGATGCGAAGGCTCGTTCTGGAGAATGATCTGGCAGAGCAGGTGGGACACAGCTTCAATTTCTGATCTCCTTCGCAAGTATGGTGCTCCCAGTGTCAAAAGAAGCTAGAGTGCTGCTTCTCGATGCAGCCAAATGGCTCATGATGACATATGCTGACAGGGCGCGCAGGGTAGACATCAGTGCGCAGAGCTGTAGGCGTTCGAGTCATCAAAGAACCCTGCCCAAGCCCATCTCGTCATGTCCCTTCCAAACCTTATCCTGATGCCTTAGTCGCTGGCAGAGCTTTTCATGTGCTCTTGTCAGCCATGGAGATGGAGGAGAGATGGCGGAAGCTCGCGCTGTTAGTCAAGACTTGGAATGATATCTCGACGGCTCTGGTTTTCGTGTCGCTAGTCTCGATTGCGGCTTGAACGCTCATATCATCAGCTGCACTGCACAGAGCTCAGGTGCTGCGTTGTGACAATCACATCCTCACGCATCTCATCAAGGCACAAACCCGATGATGGAGAGCTGTCATTCCAGACTTTCAACACAAGAGAGTGAGTCTCCTGAGTTTTGAATAGTGCCAGGTGGCTCACGGAAGATGATCCCAGCAAGGAGTCCATCATGCGCTCCTTCTCCTTCGCCTACCCTGCGACAGGCCGCTTTCTACTTTTTCCAGGCTTTCTGCTTCGTTTCGAATGCAGTTGCCAATGTCTGCGGGAAGAATATCGCAGCGGTCACAGGGTCGCGAAATTCTGCCGGACTCTGATCCTCCTCCGTCTATCCGATATAAGCTTCGAGATTTCAGAATTTCAGCCCAATGACAAGACGGCATGCCGCCAGCGGGTGACAGGAGCTGCAGCGATTTTCGAAGCCGCCAATGTGTTCTGCACCGCTGGTCTGTGACGTGGCCTCGATAAGCCAAACAGGTAAGCTGTAAGCCGACAAGCACCCGCACCTCATTCTTGATGCATTTTCAGCAACATGGCATGTCAGTGTTCTGTCAAAACTATAAACGGCAGGCATTGCCTCCCTAGCTCCAACGCAATTCGGTCTCCATGTCGCGAGCAAAAACAGGCCTTGTGAAGTTCTTACTGGGTGGGGTTGATGTTGCACTCCGATCAAGGCGTGGTGGAATGGTAAGTGGCGGCCCATTCGCCACTGCAATGCTCGTGACGTACATCGTGCTCGCGTGCTGTGGCCTTACCTATATTGTGTCAGGTCTCTGTGGCTTGTTTTCTTGAGTCGAAGGCGGTGTGCGTAGAAGCGTTTGGATGGTTCCATCGAATGGAGTGTGACGATCCTACTCGTACTCCTCCGAGAGCCGAAACCGCACGTAAGGATCTCCTATTTCATGATGCATGTGTTTGGCGGCATGATGGTGCACACGGACGAGCTTTGCATCGGAGGGCCTCGGCCGGTGTGCCTCGGACTTGCAATCTGATGCAAGCCGTCAAGGAGCTTCGTGGCAACCTTATGATGCAAGAGCTCGTGGCATTTTCGCAATGCCGCAAACTAGGTATTCTATTCGCTATATTCAGTGGTGCATCAACGTCCCCATGCTCATGATGGCTCCTTGGGTGCACTCACTCTGTTTGTGCTAATAGAACAGATCAATCGAGTAGTCATTTCTACGTCAAGTTTAACAAGTGGTTGGGGACGAGCGAGTGCCTTTGCGTGTAAGCCAGAGCAGATCGTAGGTTTTCCCTTCGGTCGTAGTCAAGTCCGTCGGCAAGAGCGAAATTGACGACTAGTGTAGTGCTGAAGCATGGAACACAAAATCCATGGAGCTCTGGCAGATGTGCTTCCATCGTCCCACAGGGAAGCAGCATATTTATTCAGATCATGGTGTGGCTTCCATGTGTGTACAGTCTTACTGTGTTCGCTAGTGTCGTTCGCAAAGCGGACTACAAGGTGTCTGGAAACCCTCGTGGTTCAGCCAGTGCAGCCGATGCAGTGACTCTGTTGCAGGCAGTTTTGTTGATGCCTTGTGCGGGCCATGTAGATCCTTGGGAAGCAGAGACCCCGTCTCAGGCATGTGCCAGCAGAAAGGTACAATATGCGAGCTTATGCAGTGTTTCTCGTTTCCGACCTGTCTGAGGCTTTTGAGACCTGGCTGCAAAACACCAGGCTTACTGATCATCGAAAGCTCGGCAGCTCGGGATCCATTTAGCAATTGTTTGGGATGTTGGTGCATGCGGTGAGGGCCGACACTACATGCTACCTAGAACGTCGTGTCGTCGGAAGGGTAAACTCTAACGACTGTTCAGTGGTTTAGCCGCAGCTGCAGACGGCACCGAGGGCAAGAACCACTTTGGTACCGATTTCGAGATGGACTGGCGGTGGTCTCACTCCGACAGTTGACTTGAATCACGACAGCTTGGATATTGCGCAGTTGTAGGACTTCGGGCCACTGTCTTGGCCACAATGGAGGCCCAGTGGGGCTCTGCCATCAGCAACCTGGTGTGGCTATTTTGGACAGCAAGCCTGTGGAACAAAGACGGGTAGCGATCGGTTCGATGATTCAGATATTGCTTTCTTCCCGCCGTTGGAGCACCGTTCTTTAGGCTTCTGCAAGCAGCTCACTGGGTGATGCGACTCAGAAAGATTTCTTTCAGTGGTCTGTCTGCGGTCACCTAACTTCGAGACGGCGGCCAAGGACCCGCGCGAGACTATGCCTTCATAGTCTGTGTGTGCCAGCAGGAGAGTAGCTGGAGCATAGCAGCAAAAGACTGCGACAACGGTAAGAGCATAGCAAGACATGCTACAGCAGCAGTCACAACGGCAACAAGGATGATAATTAGTACGACAAACACAAGACCCAGGCTCGTGATTGCCAATGTTATTCCTATGCGGGCTCTCATGAACTCCTGAGTCCTGGAAGGCCTTCAGACAGATGCCGTTGGCAGCATCGGCCAGGTTGACATTCATGTACATCGTGGCCGCTTGGTGGGGTGGGTTCAGGGTTGGAGTTCCCTGTAAGAGATAGACCGCTTTCGAGAGCTAGCAGAACTCGGCGTGCGTGTGATTCAATGTGAACACTTGGGTTTGCTTGGGGGTGTTGCTTGGTCTGTCGGAACATGGTGCACTGATGTGCGCTGCATGATGAAGAGAGACGTTTGTTGAGCCACAGTCAACGGCCTGTGTCCCTGGAAGGCTGGCTGTGGTTGTGGAGAGCCACTTTGCGAGGTGGGCGGCTCCTCCGCAACTAGGTCCTGCAAGCACCGTGCAAGCATCATGCTGTGCTGTGGAGTCCTGGCACGGCCTTGAGGTGCTTATAGCAGTTGCATTCTCTGCATACCTCGCGGCATCGATGGAACCGATGTTGCTGTTCTTCCAGTATCGGCGGCTGAACGCCTCTTCGGCATGGTTTCCGGCAGGGCGGGATCGAAGCCATGTTTCAACATGCCTGGAACTGGCCATGTGGTCACGACTGTACGTGCAGTCCGAGTGAAGGTGTCCTGAACAATCACTGTTTCATGAGTTGACAGCTATGCAAAGAAGATCAGGAAAGGTTGCGTTGTGTTTGTTCGGGCTCTGAGGTGCCCAGCATGACTGACCTTCTGCTCGCAGGGCAGGCCTTTTGCTTGGGGGTTCAAGGGGTAATGGGATTGCGAAACAGAGATTGGCAAGGTGGGTTTGGGGGCAACAAAGATTGGCTGGAAGTCTGCCTGAGCTGTCGACAGGTGCTAATCTTCGGCTTCTATGGGTGCATATACCTGGGCGAAACACAGCCGCAAGCAGAAACTTAAGTGCCCGCGTGGCCGTATGTTCTGCTCAGCATGGAACTCACGCCCTGTGTGCACTCTGCATAGGCCGTCTTCGGTCTGATCTCGAGTGCTTTGGAGCAGGCTTCTGGGGAGCTGTTTCATCAGTATCGTGCTGTCGGATGGGCAAAAAGCACCACAGAAGGCAGCTTACACTTATTCCGACATTCTGGCAAAGATGACCCACTCTGTCATCATCCTGGCCTACCGGCGGACAGACGAGACGATGCAGGCCGAAGTTGTGACGCATTTGGGGAGGAGGGCGTGCAGTAGACTTCACGAAGCCTTGCTTGTAGTGAAACACAGGTGCGTGTGCAGTAGCAACCGCAAACGGCGTAGCTGCCTTGAGCACTCTGGCTCGACAACACGACAACACGACGTCGAAAACTTTTGAACTAACCCCCCTCCTTCGGCGGTGGCGTCCATGATGTCATGGAATTTTGGAGTTGATTTCGATGGTGCTGGTTGAGGTGATCTCGGTGGCCAGTTGCGTTGGGCTCCCGTCATGAGCCTGCTCACGGCGGACCAAATCGCCGGCCTCAACGATGCGGCAGCAGCGGCGAGCATCATCCTGGAGAGCTGCAGCTATGCCTCGGCGGAACCTGCTGTCGATTAGCCCAGCGCGGCTTCCGGCAACGGCGGCACCGGTGGCTTTGGGGACATCGCGGAGGAGTCGGACGACGTCACAAGCAGATTGTTGGCGGGCCATCCTTCGGATCCAGGGGTTTGCATCCTCATTCTTTCGGATGGTGGCACCCGAAGGAATGGGGCGGGCGTGGTCCTTTGCCACGGCTATTATCCGCCGTCTGCTTCCTTGTTCTCCGCGTCTCCGCGTGGCTCCGATCCCGACGGTGCCACCACGCCAAAGATGACGCACGCGGCGGACTCTTCCTCCTGGATTCGACTAAGGCCCTGGCGCTGGTTGCCTCTCGGGTGGATCCTTGACCGCGGCGCGGACAATGCCACCACCGGACTGGTCACCCGGCTATTGCGGCATCTTGGGCATCTTCGGCGGCCCCGGCCAGGTCCAGAACAGCTTTCGATCACGCGACACAGAAGGAGGCGGCGCCCCTCCGAAAGCAGCGCCAAGTGGCCGATGCCAGTGGCGGCGGCAGATGTATATCACCACGCTACATGCCGCCCCAACGAATGGGAGGTCCGTCAGCCCTCGTCTGGTGTTCGGGTGAGTGGTAGCGTGACGCCTGCTCGACGCATGAGACATGAGAGGCTTCAGTACGACGCACATCACTTTTTCGGGGGGCCTCGGTCCCTTTTACGGCGGCATGCAGCGCGCCCCAGTGTCTCCACCCATTCCCCACAGTCGAGTCTAGTTCCGGTGTCGTGGCACACCGCAGGCTGCCAGACAGGACAGAATCCTCGAATGTGAGCCCGCCAGTTGATTCGGCCCCGCAGCCCCGCCATGCCGGCTCCTTGTCGAGATGGGAGGTGTGCCTTGGCCACCGCCGCCGCGGCCGTGTGCATGATTGCAGCCGCCGCGCTCCCGACTATGTCCCGCTCAATCAAGGCCGGGGCGGGCGTTCTGCGCCGCCATCTGCAGCCAGTTCTTGACCATAGACTCGACGGAGCGCCGGGTAGACTCACATCCGACGCCTTTTTGTGCGTTGAAGCTTTGGCCGCTCGATCAGGTCTGCTCGTCGAGGCCAGCGCTGAGGGCTCAAGACATGCTGGTCCGATCGCCGCTCGAAAGGTGACCCCAGCTCGGCGAAATGGTGCGCGTGTGCCTGGCCACCAGCGACCGGCGCTTCAGGAACACGGCGAAGGTTCTTGCCCAGGCTCGCTTGGGCCATGGGTCACGCGTGGTCGCGTCGACGTCGGAGCAGAAAAGGCTATGGGCACGACGAAGTGAGGAAGTGATGACGGGATATGACGTGCGGCCAAAAGCAACTGCAGACAATAACAGGTAGGAGGAGGTGAAAATGCCAGAAGAGAAAATAAATTACAGGTGTCGACGCCGGAGTCCAGGATGTAGATGTGGCAGACGCCGGTGCTCACAAAAGTTCTTATGGTTCCACAATTCGCTTGTCATCCCCGAGCCCGTTCCGCAGTTGCACGATAGGTCGGAGGCGAGGGGCAATGGGGCTTTGAGTGGATTCGAGCGTTGACTGCTGCCTTCCACCTGCAACCACCGAGCTCGCCGAACCTCGGCCCGGTTGTCGAAGGAACCGCGGCAATACCTCCGAACTTGTAGGGGTCTTTTTTGTTGCCGTTTTGAAACATGCGGCTCCGGGCTGAAAGTGGCGGCAACGGCACTGCCCTTTGAGGACGTCCTCCTCCTCTTGCTCCTGGCGGGAGCACTACGTCGATCGACGGCCTGGAAGAGTTGGCGGCCGCATCTTTCGAGAAGTTCTTCGCGGCGCTCGGGTTCCGGATCGAGGTGTGCAAGTCCAGGGGTGCTTCAAGCATGTTCGAGACGGCGTCACTCTCAGGCCACCCTGAAAGGGTACGGCGCATCTTGGACCAGATGCGGCATTGGGAGATTGTCGTTCCTGACTCAGTCGGTCTGCAACAAGTATTAATGCCATATACGCTCGGGCGGCGGGCACCTCGGCGCACTCCAACGACAAGCTATCGACTGGTTTGCGGTCGGCGCTGGCGCTGCTGTCAGCATGACAGCATATTTGGCCGATGGTGCGGCAGAGGTTCATCCCCTTTTTCCCCGACGACAATGGACTCGGCGCTGCTCTACGCCGACGCAGACACAAGGCGGGCATAGGCAGGCCATGTACCAGCAACGGCGACCATGTCGTGAACCAATGGGGCGCGCAACGGCTGGGGTTGCCTGCTCCGGCCGCGATTCGTTGGCAATACCGCCGGTCAAGCGGTGCTTGCCGAGGGGTATGGCAAGGCGGCGTTCTGGGCACTGGCGGCGCGCTAGGGCGGGATGGCGAACTTCCGGCGCGTGCCAAGGCCAACGCGGCTGACGCAGTGTCCAAAAGAGAGTTTTCTGGGGCACGACGCGAAGGTTGGACAAGCCTCGGTCTGGGACATCATGCACATGTTCGCGGCGGTGTTGGAATTTTGCTCCATGCTGTGGATGCTGCGGCGGACGACATTTTTTCTTCTTCAACGATGTGGTTGCGTTGTGGGGCTGGGTGCGCCGGGTGGTGCTGATGTTACACCTGGCGCCGGCTTAGGGTTACGAGCCTGCACGCCGAACGGCCCTGTACTGTAGCGCTTGTATCCGATCTCCAACCGACGAAGAGCAAGATCGTCCGTACATTTTGGCGTCTAGACCTACAAAGCGCGGCGGTTGTTGTGAAACATATACTTGTGGTGTGTGCAGTAACAACTGCAAACGGCGGGTCGATGACACGACGTCCAAAGAACCCAGCCTCGCCTCCCTTGTGGGGACTTTCGGCGGTGGTCGAATCTAAGCCCGCCGGTGCTGGTCTGCGCACCCAGCTCCAGCTTCAGGATATGAGCCTGCACGGCGAACGGCGATATAGCTTGTATGCTTGATGTTTGCAGCAATGGCGTCGCGCACTTGCTCACAAGGACTGCAAGTCATAGTTCACTCTTGTCATATTATCCGAAATCAATGCATGCCGAACCTGCGAAAGGCCAGCTGAGACCAACCTTCTGCAAAAATGGCACTGAAGGGCGGGGGCAACGGGAGGCCGTTTTGACATGTGGAAAGGCTTTTGTGCCAAGCTGGATAAGCGGACAACAAGAACCGATAACAAGCAGTGAATTTTCGTCGCAACCTCCAAAGCAAAAGCGGACAGTGCTCGTAGCAAACTGGCGCAGTCGTGGCAAGCCGAAAAGCACTCAAGATCCCGCATGTGGATTTGCTGTAAACAACAGCCTGTTGAAATCATCTCATTGACCATCACAGGAACCCTTCGCAGTCGCAAGTTTCCACAAGCAAAGTTCAACCAGTGCAGCTCCGGTCACGAATTCGTGCAGGCCGCTTTAGAAAGCTGATCTGCTTTCCGAAGGCAGCTACGCTACGTGATTTCGCTATTTCAGCAGCAGCAGACCTGAAGCGGATGATCCGGGAGGCCGGTTGCCTTATTTACGTGAAGACTTCTGTTGCTAAAGCTTTATCGTTTTCGTGTGAGTCGTCCTTGCGGGTCCAAAAGGCCAGCGTGCCTATCTTCTCTGTGACCACGAGCCTCAAGGCACAGAACTTAGAAGCTGTGTAGTCCGACGCCGTGAAGATGTGAACGACTCAGATCGATGAGTGGAATGGCTGCATCTCGGAGTTGACGGGGGTGACACCGGAGTTGGCAAAGCGTCCAAGCTACAAGCAGAGCTTGTGCCACTTGTGTCAGTCGGTGCTTCAACTTCAAGTGTTGGTACTGAGGGGCAAGACGCTGACAGAGGTTTTTGCCGAAGGCAGAGAAAGTCAATGGCAGCACTTCGCTCCTGTGGCTTCAATTTGCCTTGAGACGGTTCGCTTTGCATGGATCCATGTCTCTCAGCTCGACTCAACAGTGCGAAATCCCTTGGGCCGTGGGGGAAATCTGAGGCTGTGGAGCTTCTCATGGGGGCTATTGCCGACAATGCTACTGGCATTGCACAATTCCATTTCTCGAAGATGGAGGCACTGCTTCCTGAGATGGTGTGGCTTGTGCACTATCAAGTTGGCCTTGACGTTTACCACTATACCTCTGCAGGATGAAGCACAAGACTTCGTGATCATCGCGGCGAGCTGCTCGGCAACACGAAAGCTGTGGTACTGTGCATGAAGTATCTCCGACATCTCCCACTGTAGTGGGAGTATTTGACAGGGAGACATGCCGCAGGTGCCAGGCCACTTCGAGATAGACATGGAGAGATATGCGGAGCAGTTTGCATCGGTCAGGACATTCGGCGGGCGGGAGTTCTGAATGGGTTGCTTTCTGCATGTGTTTGCGCCGCTTCCTTTTGATTTGGGTTTCCGCGAAGGACGTCACAGAGCTCATGCTGCAAAGGCAGGGGTTTTCGTGGATCCCTCATCTGTGCGCAGCCTCATTGCAGGAACAAGTGCAGCGTTCTGACTAACTAGAATTTGGCTTGTGCATGCTGGGCCTGGGCGTACTGGGTATTAATCGAAGAACATGTCACAGATTCGATCGCACAGCCGAAAAGCCTTTCCTTCGTGCGAGGAAGGAGGCCCAAGCATTAGCTGCTGGTCTGACGCAGCTCGTCGAGACTGCTCCTGTCCCAATATTCGAGGCCACTTTGAAAGAATGCTTCTCACAGCTCCACTTGTTGCATGCTCTTCTCGTCGAACCGAGCGTGCAGAACGAACACTTGTCCTTGGCGTAATCTTAGGGGAAAACACGCAAGACTTATGATGCAGTGGCCTCCACGGCAGGTCAATCAAGACATGAGGGTAACGGAGTGGAACTCCTGGCTGGTGCAGAATATTGGTCTCACCAAGGCCTATGCCCCTCGAAGCAAAGCAGCACAGAGTGTGTGATTCAGTTTATACTGGGACAGCTGTGGTAGTTTCAGTCCACACACTGCACTGTGCTTCGGCAGTATGACAGAAGTCGAAGCACTCCGGAACCAGGCCGAGTCAGCAACCAAGAAGAGATTTCAACTTAGAACTTAGCGACAAGGCGCGAAGCACATACTAAACCAGGAGATCCTGGCACCCATGAGCAGAATCACACACCGAAGCAAAGCAGTCCAGCACGACAGACCAAATGCATTCTTATGCTCATATTTACTGATCGCACGAATGGAACTGGCACTTCAGAGCCATGCATCCGAGCCAAGCGAGCAAGACAGCATCTGTCTACCGACCGGTCCTGCGAGCATCTACCAGGCTGAGCACTACAGGCATTTTCCGTCGCCAGGCATTGTGGCGACACGGCGAAGATCTGTCCTTGACCCAAATGCGCTTTTGGGATGATAGTTTTTGCTTTTGCGTCTTTTGGGCTGGGTTCTTGGTAGACATGATGCCGCTATTCAGCGCCATCTATTGCGCGTGCTGCATCTGGATTCATCGACCAAAAAATTAGGACTTTCGGGCCGCATGGGCCTTTCTGGAGGTGTGCACGGATGGCAGTGTCTCCACAATCCGTTGATCTTCTGGTGGAGTCACGAGGACTTACCAGGTTCCGGTGCGCAGCGAAAGCGGTGCGGCGCTTGCCCCCCAGCAGCCCTGCCCTGTACGAAACGGCCCAGGCTAGTGCGAGTCCGAAGCACATCCGCAGTCGAAACCCTTGTGATCAAGCCATCCATAGTAGAATCCACACCAAGATCAGAGCGATCAATGCTATGGGTCAACAAAGCTTCCAGCCCCAGGTCGCACAAAGCCGGGCGCAAAGCCCGTCTAAGAAGACTCAATCGCACAGCCGCTCGCTGTATGCGCAGGTGGTGGAAAAGCCTGAGTGTCACTTGCCACTGACATCACAAACCGGAGTTGTGCAGCATGAAAACCAGCTCCAGCGGCGGCAAAATCACCAAGACTTCTCGAAGAAGGTTGGCCTACGAGAACCCGCCAGTGCACCGGGGGGGCGTCCTCCAAGTCGACCCGTCTTGGGCAGGAACCTCGGCCTGCACCTCCTCGTCAGTCTCAGCGTTTCGGTCCACGCCTGCCTATCCTTTTGACCTTGATCGGCAATGCCAAAGTAGAACAGTGACGACATAATGGTGAAGCATGGTGGCGTGTACCTCGAGTAAGGCCCACTCGTACTTGTAGGGTCTGTTGCCGGCCAGCATATCTGCATGTCCATTGCGCTCCGCCAACTAGCCTTCATAAGGATGGTCGGTCAGTGAGCCAAGGTCCAAGTGTGACGGCGTGTGCCGCTCATCGAGCTGCTCAAGCAGGTGAGCCAAGTCGGCCCAAAGATCAGAGTCCGCGGCATCGGAAGTGACTGTCCGCTTTGAAGTGCATGGATGCCAGCAGCCACATTCCCAGCATCCGTCCAAACCCCATCGAGCTGCGGCCTTTCGTCGCACATAGTTGGGCACGGTTCGCCGTCCGGAGCATTCCAGGTGCGACGTCAGAGGCTGTGGCTGTGGCCGAGTGGGCGTGGATCTGTCCCCACCCAGCACAGTCTGGACCAACGGAGTCGAAGCACGAGCCATCAGTGAACGCCGCCAGCCATCTCCAAACCCCGAACTGAACAAGATGCTGGTGGTATCTGCAGCAGACTGCGCAGTGCGGGAAGATGTGGGTTTGCGGAGGGGAGCAAGGGCGGAGGGAAGGAGCAATCAATCCCAGCCACCACCACTACCACTACTACTAC